CACGGGAATGCACGGACGCACCCTACCCGGTCATCTTGACTGTGTGGTTCAGGGTGCTCACGCGGGCGATCGCGCTGGGCGGTTCCTGACCGTCCAGCATATGCCTTGTCTGCCCCCCATGGCAGACTTCCTTCCTCGCCTACGCTCCCACGCGGCTCCCTTAAGAGGGGGGAGGCGTCATGCGTCGAATCCGCGTGGTTCTGGCTCCGCGACTGGTTGGCGGGGATTTCGCCTCGCGACCAGGGTGGTGCCCCACTGCGCGACTGGGAACTTCGCGCGCGAGCGGGGGCTCGCGCGGGGTGGCGCAGTTGAGTCGCATCGGCAAGGGTTCTCGCTTCGCGGCTCGTGGGGGAATCTCGTTCCGCGGCGGGGGTGGCGCCTCGGTGCGCGAGTGGGCTCTACGCGCGTGGTCCGGGGCCTGGCGCGGGGATTAAACGGCTGCGTCGCATCGGCGGGGGTCTCGCTCCGCGAGCGGGCTTCCTCGAAGCGCTGGAGGGCACAATCCTCCGAACACACAATTTAGAAATCATCGCGATTCTCTGAGTCCTGGGATTCGGCAGGATTCCTAGGGAACTTCTTCATGTCCTGAGGATTATACGGGATCCTTGGGATGGCGAGCGGAATCTTCATGGTTCTTCAGACTATCCTCGGGGTTCCATCGGGTCTGCTTTCCTTAGCGTTTGTTGGCGGGTGTGAGGAAATCCTTGGGCTTCCCTTGCTCTTCCGTAGGCCTCGTGAGCCACGCTTGATAGACCCAGAGAAGTGTTTTCCCTGGGGTGACTTGGGACATGCTTGGATTTTCATGCAATTTCAGTAATTCTGAGGATTCTGGAGGACATCGCCACGGATTTTCTTTGGTTGTATGCGTTTCCATGAGAACTTCGGAGGATATGTTCAGGATGGCGGGCGTCGCCATGAACTTGTAAGGGCCGTTGAGGAATCAAGCAGGGGATTCGTTGTCTGGATGTGCGCTTCAGGTAAGCCCCAGGAGCAGGAATGCCAAATTGTCCTCCCCTCCTGCCCAGCGGCGGGCGGCCCGCCGGTCAGTTTCGCCAGGGAGGCGTTTGAGCCTTCTGGGTCGTTTCCGATTGTTTGTGGATCGACACTGAGAGCCCCGCCAGGGCCGTTCGGAAGCTAAGCAGGAGGTGGTCGTTTGTGTGCCACGCGCGAGACGAAGGAAACGCAACGCGCCTCCTTGCTTCGCTCGGAGGCTGGCGGGCTTGACCTCGCGCGCACCGTCGTTCATCTTGCGCTCCGGTGGTCGATCCGTAAACGGTCGCTCGCTCCTGACGACGGCCGGGCGCGGCGCTGGCTCCAGAAACAACAGGGAGGAGGACGAGGCGGAAGAGGGGGATGAGACGGGGGAGGAAGATGAGGTGTGATTGTAGGAGGGGGAAGACATGCGCACCCATTTTGGCTCAAGTCATGTGTTACGTAGGAACTGGCCGCGGCCCCTCCCGGGCTGGCGACGGGGTCTGTAGCCGAGGGTGCGTTTTCTGCTTCTCCGGCGGCGCAGGCGGCGTACAGCGACAATTTCTGGATCTGGGCCACGCTGCTTTCGAAAGGGGCTCGGTTTTCCTTCAGGTCCCTCCGTGGGTCTTGCACTGGTGTTCCCTGCGGACCTGGGCGCAACTGAGGCCCGGCATGGGGCTTCGATCCTTGCCCGAGATTCCTTGCGTCAGAACTTTGATCGGGGGAGCGTAAGACCCGGGTTTGCCGGGACTCGGGTTCGCCATCGTTTTTTGACGACCGCGCCTCGGATTTTGACGAGGAGGAGGTTCGTGGGATGTCTGCAGCGGGAGGCCTCGTCAAAATGCAGGCTCGGCCTCGAAGGCGGCGCAAATAAGAAGCAGTGGCTGTGGTCATTTTCCCGTCCCGCAGAGTGTGGCCCCGGCCCGGCGGAAAAGCCCCTGCACCCCGCAGGCGAAGGAGCTGCCGCGTGGCTGCGGGGGGCAGGCGTCGGCCTCGCGCCCAGGCCGCGTGAGCGAGCACAGGAGCTCGGCCCCGCGCACGGACGTCGGCCTCGCTGGGCGATGGCGTGCCTTCTCCTCCGGGCGACGCCCGAGAGGTGGTCGGCCTCACAGGCCGCGGCGGGCAAGCATCGGCCTCGCGCCCAGGCCGCGTGAGCGGTGTCGACTGTGATGTGGTCGGCCTCACCTGTCCTGCGTTGAGTCGGGCACGTTCCTCTACAGGAGGAATGTTCAGTAATAATCAAATAACAGTCTGGGGGCGATTTCGTTTTGTCTTGTTTCTCTCCCGTTTTTGCGTATTGTTGGACTCCGTTTGATTTTTCGTCCAAATCAGCCTGCAGGAGGACATGCCCGACCTAAGCCCAGCGGGGCCTCGTCGCATGCCTCTGGGGGGGCAGCGCGGCGGGAGATCCCCCACGGGGGACTGTGGGCAAGGGCAGGGCTTGCGCGCCAGTCACATGAGCGCCTTTGCGTCCCCTCGCCGCCGCGCCTCCGAACTAGTTTGAAGCATGTCCTTCTCCCTATGTCTGGCATGACCTGGCCTCGGTGCCGATCTCCACGATTGCTCCAGTTTCGGAGGACACATCCTCTAGATTGCCATCGCTCTTGGCTCGCCCACCTGAGGGATAGGGACAAGTTCGAGTCTGGTCAGCGTCCCTGCCTGGACGCCTGCTGCTGGGTCTCCTCGTCGGCTGGCATGGCCTGCTCGGGCCGCCGCAGCGGCCCGTCCGGCTCCTCGCGCCCCTTGTGCACCGGCGGCCTGCCCGAGAGAGCTCTGCGCGCCCGCCGGGCAGGCCCAGGGCCTGCCCCGCGAAGGACTGCGGTGGAGGGCGGGGGGCGACGTGCTCGTGGACGGGGGGAGGGGGCACGAGGCAGGGCGTGCTTCCCCTCGAAGGCGCGGGGGATGGTCCTCGGGTGGTGGTGGTGTCGGTGCCTTCGCTCGTGGGCCATGTCGTCCTGCTGCCGCCCACGTCAGGTTGACAAGGATATGGATATGTCCGACGTCCCCAGGGATGATGATGATGGCGATGATGACGCTGCTGATGATGATGGATGGATGATGAGGATGAGGATGAGGATGATGATGATGATGATGATGATGATGATGATGATGATGATGATGATGATGATGATGATGATGATGATGATGATGATGATGATGATGATGATGATGATGATGGTGATGATGATGATGATGATGATGATGATGATGGTGATGATGATGATGATGATGATGATGATGATGACGCTGCTGCTGCTGCTGATGATGATGGTGATGGTGATGTTGATGATGATGCTGATGCTGATGCTGCTGATGATGATGATGGTGATGATGATGATGATGATGATGCTGGTGGTGGTGATGATGATTATGATGCTGCTGCTGCTCATGCTGCTGATGATGATGATGGTGATGATGATGATGATGATGATGATGATGATGATGATGATGGTGATGATGATGATGATGACGCTGCTGCTGCTGCTGCTGCTGCTGATGATGATGATGATGATGATGATGATGATGATGATGGTGATGGTGATGTTGATGATGATGCTGATGCTGATGCTGCTGATGATGATGATGGTGATGATGATGATGCTGGTGGTGGTGATGATGATTATGATGCTGCTGCTGCTGCTCATGCTGCTGATGATGATGATGATGGTGATGATGATGATGATGATGATGATGATGATGATGATGATGATGGTGATGATGGTGATGATGATGATGATGATGATGATGATGGTGATGATGATGATGATGATGATGATGATGATGATGATGATGATGATGATGGGGGGAGTCAGGCGGTGAGGACCCCCGGATGGGGTCGCGCAGTGTGGCAGCACGCCGCGCAGCGTAATACGTTCAAGGAGTGCTGCGCCACCATCGGGCTCGGCGTGACGAGCCTGCGCCTGGGTGACTCTACGGGTCTCGTGGACGACGACTGGATGATGCAGGGCAATGACAAGAAGGGCAAGGCTGAGGTTGACAGCGCAGGCCTGGTCTAGACGCTGCTCATCTGCTGCTTCGGCTATCGAGCAAATCTCATGGGCAAGTCCGTATTCAAGATCCTTGATCTTGTGCCCTGGATCTGATCTGTGTGGCGCCCATTGCGAGTGAGGCGTGGCTGCAAAGCGGCCCTTCCTTGCATCGGACACAGAAGGCGCACAGAAGGGGAGGAGGGTGGCCGAGGAGGAGGAGAGGGAGCAGTAGGATGTGGAGGGAGAGAGGGAGGGAGAGGAAAAGGAGGAGGCGCAGCAGCTGGAGGCGGAGAAGGAGGAGGAGGAGGACGCTGTCTCCTCTCAATCCGTCCGCGCCAGTGCCGATTGTTGCTTGCGCTGCCCCTTCATGCCCCCCTTGCCCTGCCCTGCCACCCCTGGAGCGGTCCGCGAGTTCGTCAAGCTTGGAGCGAACGTGTAGCAGCGTGCCCGTTGCTTCACGTGCGAGCATGGAGAGTTTTACCCCCGCCTCGGATCCTGACCCCCAGAGGTCCCCGGAGGTCCCTGGAGGCCTCCAGAGGCCCCGCAGGGGCCAAGAGCGTCCGAGAGCCTCCCCATGAGCATAAACTCTGGAGATCCGCCCAGGTTTTTTGGGTCGGCGCTGGACCCCCCCTTCCCTGGCGCGCGGAGCGCTCCAGGAGTGGCGCCGGAGGCGCCGCCAGAGGGGCAAGGGCTGATCCGCGAAATCCGCGCGGAGCTCCCAAAGTTTAGGCTTACGCCGTTTCTCTTCGATTCCAAGGCGCCCCCCGTGGGGGAGGAGGAGGCGGAGGAGGAGGAGGAGGAGGAGGAGGAGGAGGAGGAGGAGGAGGAGGAGGAGCAGAAGGAGGAGGCCAAGACTCTGAAGCCTTGGCTGCACCCTTGCCTGCCTCAGCGACCTCGAGCAGCAACGCTGTCATGCAGCGGCGCTCTGCCCCGCAGAGGCGCGGCCGCCTCCGCCCCCCGGGCCCGGCCTCGCCGAGGCTCGGCCTCCACTCGGCGGCCGCCGCTCGCCCGCGGTTGGCACGGCGCGCGCGCGGCGAGGATGCCGGGCAGGCAGCCGCTCGCCTTCCGTGCCACGAGGCGCGCGGCGCGTGCCGACTGGCCGCCGCCGTCGTCTTCGCCGTCGTCGTCGTCGTCGTCGTCGTCGTCGCTATCGTCGTCATCGTCGTCGTCGTCGTCGCTATCGTCGTCGTCGCTATCGTCGTCGTCGTCGCCGTCGTCGTCGTCGCCGTCGTCGTCGTCGTCGTCGTCGTCGTCGTTCGTCTTTCGTCGTTCGTCTTCGTCCTCCTTCCCGTCGTCCGAGTGGTTGTCGTCGTCGTCCTCGTCCTCGCCGTCGACTTGTCATCATCGACCTACTGTCGTCGTCCTCGTCGTCGTCTTCGTTGTCGATGTCGTTGGAGTCGCTGTCCGTCGTCGGCGGTGGCGTCGTTGTCGGCGACTGGTCTTTTGGTCATCCGTCGTCGTCGACTGGTCGTCGCCGACGATGTCGCAACATCGACGTGTCGTCGTCGCCATCATCGTTAAAGTTCGGGCGAAGAGAACTATACACATGCACCGATCCTGGCAAGGCGCATCCTTGACCCAGGATCGGTGCATATACCTTCCTGGCCGAGGTAGAGGGCGTATGCACCGATCCTGGGCTCAGGATGGGCCTGGCCAGAATCGGTGTATGTGCATAGTTCTCTTTCCTCTAAAAGTCGCCGTCGATGCAGATGTCTCAAGTGCGCCTGGGGCGCGGCGGAAGGCCGCCGATCTCTCAGTCGTCGCTGCACGCATCAGTCCGACCCGGTGAGCAGGACGACAAGGGGCAGGAGGAGGAGGAGGAGGAGGAGGAGGAGGAGGGGGAGGAGGGGGAGGAGGAGGAGGAGGAGGAGAGGAGGGAGGAGGAGGAGGAGGAGAGGAGGAGGAGGAGGAGGAGGAGAAGGAGGAGGAGGAGGAGGAGGAGGGGGAGGAGGAGGAGGGAGGAGGAGGGGGAGGGGGAGGAGGAGGCCGTCGGTGAGGACGATGACGGTGGCGACGACCGACGACGACGAAATGGAGGAGTGGGATGAGGAGGAAGACGACGACAGCTGCCGCGACGGCGACGGCGACAACGGCCCTGGCCACGTCGGCGGCGATAACGAAGACGACGACGAAGAACCCTGCCGTCCCCAGTCCCCCGGGGCCTGACATTCAAAATGCGCACATGCTTCTCCAAACAGTGCTTACACTTGGGGGTTCTTACATGTTTTTTCAAGGAATTGGGTTCCGCTGTCTTGTCTGCGGCCTTGTGGTTGCTGTCGCCGTCCCGTAGCCGCCTCGTCGCCGCCCGTCATCTGGGCTCCGTTGTCGGGTCCGCCGCCTTAGGATCGCGGTCGCCGCCCCGTCGCCGCCTCGTCGCCGCTCGTCGTCTGGGCTCCGTTGTTGGGTCCGCCGCCTTGTAGTCGCCGCCCCGCCGCCGCCCCGTCGCCGTCGCCCCGTTGAACCACCCCTGCTGCATTCGCATTCCTTTGCGTTGCTTTGCATTGCCCTGCATTGCTTCACATTGCATTGCATTGCTTTGCATTGCTTTGCATTGCCTTGCGCTGCCATGCGTCCCTTTGAATGACTTGACATTGACTTGCGTTGCAATCGCATTTCTTTGCATGGTATTGCAATGGTTTGCATTGTTTTGCATTGTATTACATGGCTCAACATTGGTTTGTAGCGGCTTGCATTGCTTTGATCGGCTTTGCATTGTTTGGTTTTGTTTTGCGTTGCTTTGCGCCACATGATTTGCACCATATGGTTTGCATCGCCTTTATTGCACCGCATACTTTGCAGCATACCACGCCGCTATCATCCACGCATATACATATTGCATATATACAATTATATATAGACGTCAGCCAGAGTGGACCACAAGCAGTGTTTTCTATCATGCAATGTGGTGCAATCTACGCGGTGCAATATACGTAGGGCAATCTACGGTGTGCAATATTTGTGGTGCAATCTTGGTGCAATCTATCTGATAGCCTTCGGCCTATCCCGCCAGCGTGCCTGGGTTGTGGGTCATTGACCTCTTGGATGTCCGTTGGGAGGTCGTGTGAGGCCTCTCGGGGGCCTCTTAGAGGCTGGTTTGAAACCTCTTGGGAGCCGTTTTGGGACTTCTTAGGGCGCCTCGGGGGCCTCTTGGGGGCCTCGTGGCGCCTCTTGGGGGCCTCTCGGGGGCTCCTGGGGCTATTTTTGGGTGGAAAGCTCGAATTGTCGGTTGAGGCTCCCCCTCTTCGGCCCCACTTGGGGCCGTCTCGGGGCTCTCTTGGGCCGCCTGGGGCGCCTCTAGGTCCGTCTTGGGGCCCTCTTTGGGGTCTGTTTGGCCGTCTTGGGGCCTCTTGGGGCCCTCTTGGGTCGTCTTGAACGCTGCGAGGCCGAAAACTCGTGTATGCGAGAGGTGTACGGTTTTCAAACGGAATTGGGCGATGTTTGCCTCTTCAGGCCCTCTGGGAGGCCTCTTGGGCCTCTCTTGGGGCGTCTTCGGCGCCTCTTCCGCGGTCTTCAGGCCACCTTGGGCGTCTCGGACCGACCGTTCGGCGATTTGGGGCCCTCCTGGACCGTCTGGTGGGCCTCGGGGCGCTCTTTGCCCGTCTGGGGGCCGTCTTGGGCCCAAGCCAGCCACACGGCACCACATCTCGCGCCTCAAGAGATGTAGGATTTTTTGGGGTCAGGGCCCCTTTCAATAAGCCTTAGGCTTTCGGATTGAGGCTTGAAGGACTATGCCAATGGACCTGAGGGCCCTCCAACTCGTGCCTCAGGGCACGGTGGCGGATGTGGTGCAACATATGTCGTGCAATCTAACGTGGTGCAATCTATGTGGTGCTGCCTATGTGGTGCAATCCACGTGGTGCAATCAATGTGGTGTGATCTATGTGATGCAATATATGTGGTGCAGTCTGTGCGGTGTAATGATGCTGTGCAATCTGCGTGGTGCAAGCTATGTGGCGACGGGCGGCAAACCAGTGCAAAGGGACGCGACGCTAGGCAAAGCAACGCAATGCAAAGCACTGCAGAGTTATGTAAAGCAATGCCAAGTAATGCTAGGCAAAGCCAAGCAATGCAAGTCAATGCAAATCAGTACAAACCAGTGACAAGCAATGCAACTCAATCCTAGGTAGCGCAAGTCAATGCAACGCAAACCAAAGCAAGCCAAGGAAACGCCTTGCACACCACTGTAACTCGATGTAAAGCAGTGCAAATGCAACGCAACTAAAGCAATGACAATCAATGGAGCGCGAGGCAACGCAACGCAAAGCAATGCACCGTAAGGCGGGCCCAGACGGCGACGGGGCGGCGACGGCGACCACATAGCCGCCAGACCGACGGGCAGGCCTAGACGACTGGTGGCGACCAGGCGGCGACGGGGCGGCCACGGCGACCACAGAGCTGCCACACCGACGGGCAGGCCCAGTTCCCGAGAGCACGTTGGCCCGCGTGGGCCCCAAGCAGCGTGTTTCCACCAGCACTCTGCGTGGCAGAATCTGTTGGGTCCGTAGCCATTTTGGCTCAAGCCGTCCGGGCTTGGGCCAAGCCTGCCCGGCCCGGGGGCCCCGCGCGCGCTGGGCGCGTGGCGCCATGGCCGCCGCACCAGGCGGTGGCCAAGACGCGGCCCGCTGGCGGGCGCTGCTGTGGAGCGTCCCCACGGCCGTGGCCCTCGCGGTGGCCCACTGGATCGCGCGGCGGCTGCTGAGCCCGGGCGCGCCCGTGCTGCCGTGCGCGGGAACCGCGGCCCTCGAAGCCCGGCAGCGCGGTGACGGAGGTGTCGCTGGGCCGTGCCCAGCAGAGGAGGCGCTCTTGCTCCACCTGCGCCTCGTCCTGGCCCCCCTCCGCCCGCGGGACGCGCTGGTGGCGCTGCCCGCCGCGTCGGTGGCCCTCCGGGACGCCTTCGCGGGCGACGTCTGCCGCTGGGTGGCGCTCTCTGCGCTGTGGCCGCTCGGGGGCCCGCCCGCCGCCTTCGGAGGCGAGGGCCCGGCGCAGGCCCACCTCGAGGCCGCGCTCGCGGGCTGCAGCCCCGGTGGGCGGCTGGAGCAGCTCTTCCTCTGCGCGCTGCGCGAGCGCGGGCCAGAGCCCCACCACGGCCACATCGGCGGCCTGGTGGCCTGGGCGGCCCGGCGCGCAGGCGAGGCCTCCGTGCCCCGCGAGGTCGAGTGGCTGATCCGGTGGCGGGCGGACGTCAACCGTCATGACCCCAACGGATGGACCCCCCTTATATGGGCCGCCCAGCGGAACTCGGTGCCCATGTGCCGGCAGCTGCTCGCCGGGCGCGCCGACCCGGACCGCATCGGGCGCGAGGGCTCGTCGGCGCTGGGTATCGCGTGCCGTTGCGCGCACGGGGACGTCGTGAAGCTGCTCTTGGAGGAGGCCGGGGCCTCCCCGTACCTGGTGCCAATCGGTAACGGCAATTTCGACAACCACGTCGGCGACGACATCATGACGCTCGTGCGTCAGAGCCGCCAGAGGGCCTCGCGGCGGGGCGGCAGCTTTGTCGGCAGCGGTAACCGCGGGAGCTTCTGACTTGTCTGGCCACCAGGCGCACCAGACGCACCAGGCGCCCCAGCTCCTCCTCCTCATTTGTTCCAGCCTCCTCCAGCTCCGCAGCCCGTTACTTCCCGGCATGCTGTCTCATAGTGGCAGATTTCGGGGACGCATCTCGCGACATCCCGAGCCTGCGCGAGTTGTACAGGTTGGCCGGCTCAGTCTCCTGAGCCGCCTGAGCACGATGAAGGCCCCCAAATATCCGATCAGCCGAATGTGTCAGCTTTGGCGTGTCTCTTGCACCGTCGTCGTCGTCATCGTCGTTGTCGTCCTCGTCGTCCTCGTCGTCTGCGTCGTTCTCGTCGTCCTCGTCCTCGTCGTCCTCGTCGTCCTCGTCGTCGTCCTCGTCGTCGTCGTCGTCGTCGTCGTCGTCGTCGTCCATGTTCTCGTCCTCGTCCTCGTCGTCCTCGTCGTCCTCGTCGTCGTCCTCGTCGTCGTCGTCGTCGTCGTCGTCGTCGTCGTCGTCAATGTCCTCGTCCTCGTCCTCGTCGTCCTCGTCGTCCTCGTCGTCGTCCTCGTCGTCGTCGTCGTCGTCGTCGTCGTCGTCGTCCATGTCCTCGTCCTCGTCGTCCTCGTCGTCCTCGTCGTCCTCGTCGTCCTCGTCGTCGTCGTCGTCGTCGTCGTCGTCGTCGTCGTCGTCGTCGACGTCAGATCCTGTCGTCCTGCCCGCGGCGCGCCCGACGGCGAGGACTGGCCCGCGGAGGCGCGCCTCCTGGCCTGGCCCATCCTCCCCTGCTGGCGCGCGTGGACGGCGGCCGACGGCCTCTCCGAGGCGCCCCCCCCCGGGGAGGGGCCGCCTCGGCGGCACCTCGGCGGCCCCGCGGCTCGGCACGACGGCGACGGCGACGGCGACGACGCCGGCGACGGCGACGACGGCGGCGACGACGGCGACGACGCCGCCGCCGCCGACCTCCGCGCCGCCGGCGATGGCCACCGACGACGAAGCCGACGACGACGACGGGCCCGCCCACAAGGGGCGGCGGCGGGAGCCGCCGCAGCCCGACAGCAGAAGGGGTACGGCCTGACACTGCCCAGCCCCTGGGGCCCCCAGCATTCAACGGGCATGGTCATCGTCATCGTCACGATTGTGGAGTACGCTCAGCATTCAACAAGCATCGTCATCGTCGTCGTCGTCGTCGTCGTCGTCGTCGTCGTCGTCGTCGTCGTCGTCGTCGTCGTCGTCATCGTCTTCGTCGACCGACAGCAGTTCCAGGTCATTTTGAGCAGGACTCGCTGTCGGTGTCGCCGCGTACGTTGCCCATTTGAGACAGAAGGCCGCCTGGCCAACAACGGCTGCCTGCCCAACAACACGTTGTTGCGCATCGTACATCCATCATCCCATCAGACATGTGAAGACAAAAACAACAACATTCGTGGACCCCAGATGCCGTGTCAGAAATCCAAGAATCTGGACCGGAGCCCGGGCGTTGCCTCGGAGTTCCGCGCTGTTGGTGGACGCATTCGTCTACCTGCACCTGGACCGCTGCCGAGGACAACGCCTGGCGCCGCCGAGGGCCGCCCAAAGGCCGCGCCGAGGCCGCCCCGAGGCCGCCGAGGGCTTCCGCGGGCCGCCGAGGGCCGCCGACGGCTGCCGAAAGTGTCTGGGGGGGGCCGCCCGCGGCCGCCGAGGGCCGCCGGGGGGCCGCCGAGGGCCGCCCGAGGCCCTCCGCGGGCCGCCGAGGGGCCGCCGAGAGGCCGCCCCGAGGGCCGAGGGGGCCCCCCGCGGCCTCGCAGTGTCCACATGGGTCTCGCTCAACACATTCTCAAAACGAAACTCACATGAATTTGAATGAACTCCATCAGGACCTACTTGACTCCGCACTCAGTCACAAACTGCACCTGAATGTCAACCCGCTCAGCTCCCGGCAGGGGTGCACCCATCCCTTCCGCAGCCATCCCTGGCGCCTGGCTCGGCGGCACTCCAGCGGCACTCCAGCGGCCCCTCGGCGGCCAGCCTCTTCCAGACACATCCGGCCCCTCCCGTTCCTTTCGGTGCGCGGGCCCCGGGAGGTCTGGACCACTCCCCCTCCCCCTCCTCTTCGTCGTCGTCGTCCTCCTCCTCCTCCTCCTCCCTCCTCCCTCCTCCTCCTCCTCCTCCTCCTCCTCCTCCTCCTCCTCCTCCTCCTCCTCCTCCTCCTCCTCCTCCTCCTCCCCCAGGGCCGCTTTCTCGTCTCGAACATCTTTTTGTCGGAGCGCCCGAGGCCCAGCGAGGGCCCCCCCCGAGGCGGACAGCGGCCCAGAGCAGGCCGCTCCAGCTTCTTCGGAGCGTCGGATCTCTGGGTTCTCCCCGGTCCCCGAGGGCCTTGGAACGCACTCGGCCCGCCGGGCCGCCGGTGGCCCTCGGCGGCCCTGGGCGGGCCTCGGCGGTGTTGCCGCCTCGACGTCGTCGTCGACGTCGACGGCTGGGCGGCGACTGCGGTTGCGGCGGTGCCTCGTCAACGTCGCTGGCATCGACGTCCTCGTCCTCGCTGTCTCCCTCGTCATCCCTGCCCCCCCGCCCAGCCGCGGGTTCACCAGCAAGTGGTATAGCACATGCGCGTTCATGTCCAAAAATGAGCCCAGGGTTCCGACTCGAATCGGGCACCCCCTGTTTCAAGGACAGGCCCGAATAGTTTTGTGCATCGCGATTCAATGTTGTATATCACGGTTGCTGTCTTGCCTTATCTATATCATTCGTGCTGACTTTTTGCTTGTTCGCTTCTCAGTAGGACTCCGCGGATCTGATTCGCTTGGAAATTTTGGAGACCAGTGGCAATCGTGCCAATCTGCCTGCGCCTGCGGGCTCCTTCCAGACAGAAGCGATTGCCCCCTGTGTCACTGACCTGCATTCTAAATCGGCTGATGTGTCGTAGTAGCCATCGTGGGGACCGCCTCCTGTCGCAGGCGGATTTTCTTCTCGAATCCCAGAGAAACTCCCGAAAAGTTTGGCCGCTCAGAGAAAGGTGGGAGGAACTCGGGGATATCCCCCCAGGGGGCTATTCGTACGCACCCCTATCGAGGATGGACGCCCCCCCATCGTACATCCCAGGGTTAGGGCCAAAATGCTTGGCGTAGCCGGAAATTGTCCCAGTGCGACCCTACCTAGGAGTTGGAACCCATAGGAAAGCAGCATTAGTAGTAGCAGTAACGCTAAGCTAAAGCTAAGCTAAAGCTAAGCTAAAGCTAAACCACAGCTAAGCTAAAGCTAAGCTAAAGCTAAGCTAAAGCTAAGCTAAATCTAAGCTAAAGCTAAGCTAAAGCTGAGCAACAGCTAAGCTAAAGCTAAGCTACAGCTAAGCTAAAGCTAAGCTAAAGCTAAGCTACAGCTAAGCTACAACTACGCTAAAGTTAAGCTAAAGCTAAGCTACATCTAAGCTCAAGCTAAGCTAAACGCTAAGCGAAAAAAGCTAAGCGAAACGCTAAGCTAAACGCTAAGCGAAAAAGCTAAGCGAAACGCTCAGCTAAAGCTAAGCTACAGCTAAGCTAAAGCTAAGCTAACGTTAAGCTAAAGCTAAAGCTAAAGCTAAAGCTAAAGCTCCCAGGGGACTGGGGGGAACCGCTCCCAGGGGACTGGGGGAACCGCCCGGGGCGCTTTCCACTGCCCGGCCCCTTTAAGCTAGAGAGTAAGAACCCTTCTAGGCAGAGCCTAGGTAGGGAAAAAAGCCAAAGTCGGGGATTGTGGTCGACATATCCCCTGGTATCCTGCTCGTCTGTACCCAAGGAACTTTACCTACGGCCCCAGTGGCTGGGCTCGCATGCGGCTCCCCGCCCATTTCGGCGCACACCCCACACGCTTCGTGGCCCCACACGGAGCTCCATCGAATGCCCAAGTGGCAGGATTCGCATGCGGCCCCCCGCGCATTGCGGCAGACTCCTCACACGTGTCGTGGCCCCGTAGGGAGCTCCACCGAAGGCCCAGATGCCTGCGATTCCGTGCTGCCTCGTCCTCCCTCCCGCTGCCCGCGGTGCTCTGCCCGCGACTCGGTCGCCCGCGCGCTCACCGGTGGCTTGCCGGGTGCCCGTCCTCCCCCGTGCATCGCCCAGGACGGGAAACACAAGCATGGACAAAGCATCGCCGATGCAGCCGAGCATCCAGGAAGCATGGAATCGATGGGGGATCCTGGAATTTGTGTGTATTTAATACGAAGGCCTTACGGCCATTGCCGCCGACCCTGAATGGCGGCGACGACGACGACGAGGACGACGACGAGGACGACGACGACGACGGTGGCGACGACGACGACGACGACGACGACGACGACGACGACGACGACGACGACGACGACGACGACGACGACGACGACGACGACGACGAAGACGTGTGTGTGTGTATTTTTGTGGGCCCCTGGGCCCCTTCCATCGTGGCTCCCCCGCGGCCCTCCTCCTCTCCGGTGCCCTCCTTGGTGACGCCACCGGGGGGGCCGTCGCCCCTGCCCTGTTCTTCCCTCTTCCCCCTGACCGCGTCGTTCGCGCCTCGAGCACCCAGGACTGCCGCGGCCCAGCCAGCCGCTGAACCTGCCGCCGGTGTCCTTCGCGCCTCATCCTCATCCTCCCACAGGCCTGGAGGACAGCATCGTATCGACACGCTTGCCCAGTGAATGCACGCTTTCATGGCCCGCCAAGGGGGACGTGCGCTCCTTCTCCTTCTTCATCTCGGTGGAGCCGTGTTGTTCTCCAACGGGGCGTGGCTGTGAAGGTTGCGCCCAGCTGCCCCCTGACCCGCGGCATCGTGAGAGAACACGGCTTGATGCTGTCCTGGAGTTGTGATGCAGCATGCCTGGTCGTCGCAGTATGGCGTTGAGCAATATTTCGTCGTAGCAGTGCCGCGTCACACTTCCCGGGTAGCGTGCCGCTACACGGTCATAGCGTGCTCCAAAGATTTGTGCCCACAGAGGCTTTCCTTGGGGATCACCTGCTTCTGTGGTGGGATTGTCCCTCGGTGCTGGCGCGGACCACTCCAGGTCTCAGAGAGTTGTGCGCCCCAGACCGTTGCGAGTGTCTCTCGCGAGTGTCCGCTCGAGGATGGTCTGCCCCAGGTTCACGCACAGTTGCGCGTCCCAGGTGCGATCCGTGCGTGCAACGCAAGGCTCCGCGCCACAAGCCGCTCCAGGTGCATTCCGTGCCCGCCCGCACGAGCATGGTGCCTCCCAGGTTCACGCAGTTCTGTATTGCGTCCCAGGTGCGCACCTTGCGCACCCGCTGGAGGAGGGGGAATGAGGGGAAGGATGACCTGGAGGAGGACAAGGGAGAGGTGGAGCGCTCCTTCCTCCTCCTCCTCGTCCTCCTCCTCCTCCTCCTCCTCCTCCTCCTCATCATCATCATCGTCATCATCATCATCATCATCATCATCATCATCATCATCATCATCATCATCATCATCATCATCATCATCATCATCATCATCATCATCATCATCATCATCATCATCATCATCATCATCATCATCATCATCATCATCATCATCATCATCATCATCATCATCATCATCATCATCATCATCATCATCATCATCATCATCATCATCATCATCATCATCATCATCATCATCATCATCATCATCATCATCATCATCATCATTCATCATCATCATCATCATCTCGACGTCGGGAAAACTTCAAGCACTGAGCTTGAAGCGTTTTTCCTCCTCTTGCCTTCCTTCTCCTCCTCATCCTTCTCCTCCTCCTCCTCCTCCTGTGCCTGGCCGAGATGGCCTTCTCCGCAGGCGGCCGAGACCCTCGGCGACCGCGTGGTGCTGCCACTGCTGCGCAGGGCGCTCAGGAGGGGAGGGGGGGTGGGGTGGGGCGCCCCCGTGCCCCTGGGGAGAGAGGAGGATGAGCAGGAGGAGGAGGAGGAGGACGAGGAGGAAAAGGGAGGAGGGATGAATGAGGAGGAGGAGAAGGAGGAGGAGGAGGAGGAGGAGGAGGAGGAGGAGGAGGAGGAGGAGGAGGAGGAGGAGGAGGAGGAGGAGGAGGAGGAGGAGGAGGAGAGGATGAGGAGGCGCAAGGACGGGGACGAGGAGGAGGCACGAGGGAGAGGAGAAGGAGGAGGCAGCAGAGGGGAGGAGGAAGGGGAGGAAGAGGAAGCGCAGGGAGGAAGAGAAGAAAGGACAGGGGCGATGGGAACACACTTGTAGCATAATTGCCTTTTTGACGCTCGCAGCGTCCAAGGTGGCCCAAGAGGCCTTCAAGAGAACTCCAAGACGGCCTAAGAGGTCCTCAAGAGGGCCCCAAGACGGCCCAAGAGGGCGCCAAGATGGCCCAAGGGGCACCCAGGACCGCCCAAGACGGCCCCAAGAGGGCTCCAAGAGGTGCCCCCCAGGGGGGGTGTCGAACCCACATTTCGAGGCCTCTGGCCCAAGAGGACCCCGAGAACCGGCAGCAGGCCCCCACGGACTCCCCGAGAGGACACCAAAGGTCCAAAAGCGGCCTAGAGGAGGCCCCCCTCCAAGAGGCTTCCCAGAGGCTTACCCAGAGACCCGAACAGGCATTCAAGAGGTTTGAGGCGGCGCCCGAAGCGACTACAAGATACTTCTTGCACGCCTCAAATCGACGACGCAGGTGTGCAAGCACTGTGCCCCTCACTCATTCATCCTCTTTCTCATCCTCCTCATCCTTGTCCTCCCCTTATTCCTCCTCCTCCTCCTCCTCCTCCTCTTCTCACTTCGCATCCTCTATCTTCCATACGCCCTCCTCCTTCATGTCCATCTTGCCTTCGCCTTCTCCCTCGTCCAGCCCTATTCCATACTTCTCGAGTGTAGTTTTTTTGCCAATCCCGCCTCTCTCCCGCTTCCTCCTTCTCTTGCCAGTTGCCCTCTGCATCGTACATTCTCCCTCCTGCCACCTCCATCCTTCTCCCCGCTTCGGTCATCCCCTCTTCATCCCTCCTTCCTCTACCCTGCTCCTCCGCGTCGCTGTCCTTTTCGCTTTGCGTCGCCCTGACCTCCCTCCAACCGCCGCCTCCTCCTCCCCCTCCTCCTCCATCTCTCTTTCACGCCCGCCTCCTCCCTCCGCCGCCCCTCTCCCCCACTCCCTTCCTCCGTGCTCCGCTCCCGCCCTTCCCCGCCTTCCTCCGCCCCTCTCGTCCTGCCACCTCCTCTGTCTTGCCTCCTGGTACCGCCACCCACCACTCTCCTCCTCCTCCTCCTCCTCCTCCTCCTCCTCCTCCTCCTCCTCCTCCTCCTCCATGTACCACAAGCCCGACCCCGGAGGCCCAGGCCGAAGCACGCACGCACGCACACACACAGGGCCCCCCCTCGGACCCCCTCCCTCGGCGCCTCCCCAGCCGGAGGCCTCCCAGCTCCCCTGGGAGGCTCTCGAAGCGGTGCAGACAATTCCAAGAGAGCCCCCTCGGGGGCGGACAGAACCCCCAACAGTGACACGTCGATTAGTGAATTGTCCGTTTTCGGTTCTCGAGATGGCGCCGCGGCCGTTATTTTCCAGGTTTGCGCCCGCCAGGTTTGGGCCTCAGGTCGTTTTCACTAAACCACGTTTTACTAAAGGGGGTTCTGTCCATCCCCGACCCACGGCTGTCCCAGGAGACCCCCAGGGCGGCCCACGAAGCCTCCAGCAGTGCAGCGATGAGGCCCCAAGGCTCCGCCAGAGTGCCCGCGCACGACTTCCAAGAGGGCCAAAGCATTCAAACACCGAAGGGATCCCAGCGTGTCGTCTTCTGGAGTTCGCATTCGTTGCTAGCGCGTGGCTCCAGGATGGCCTCGGGGGCCAAATGGTCCCGACGAGAGCTGCAAGATTGCCCAATATTGCCGACGTCAGACACCAACGCGTGCGTTTCCAAGCCAAGGGACCCGATCATCTGATAACGGCCCCTCTGACGCGCTGCACGCTTGGCCCCATGGCAAGTAGAGCTTGAGCGCGCGCGCGAAGCGCGCGATGGTTTTGGTATGTCGTGTATATGTATATAGATGTATACATATACATACAAATGTGCGTGGCAACCTGGGTGCGCCAGTTTGGCCGAAAACGACAACGCTGTTCGAATACGAGATTGACTGAGCAGGGTGATCAGGCGGGCGACGACGCTATTCCACCTGAAGACGCAAGTGCCCAACCAGACGGGTCAGCCGAAATGCGCTTGAAGACGCTGTCCCAATTTCAGACGCGCGTGCGCCCGCAAACAAAAAGGCGCGGGAAGACGTTAGCCTTGGCGACGGCGCTGCTCCGACGGGGGTCCGTGCCCGTGAGTTTTCTGGCGCAGGCGGTGCCTGGGCGCAGATGCAGTTCGCGTCGAAAGCGAGAACCATTGTGAAGACAGAATTCCTGGGAGAGACGACATTCCCGGCAAAGACGCCAGTCCTGGCGAAGACGCTGTTCCTTCCGAGGGTGCTATTCCCGGTGAGGGCGCTGTCCCCTCTTGAAGGCGCCATTCCCGGCGAAGACGCTCTGCCCAGCGAAGACGCTATTCCCGGCGAGGACGCTATCCCCTCAGGAGACGCTGTTCCACCCGAAGGCGCTTTTCCCGGTGAAGACGCTACTCCCGGCGAAGACGCTATTCCCGGGGAAGACGCTGGTTGCAGCTGGGCCTGGCCGGGCTCCGGCTACTGGGGCAGCTCGTAAGGTCCATTTTAGCTAGATCTAGTCTGGTTAGATTTAGTTCAGTGTGAGCTGTTTTAGTTAGATCTGGTTTAGTTCGGCTGATCTCAGTTCGGCCTGGTTGCAGCTGGGCCTCGCCTGATTCCAGTTGCCCGAGCATATAGTTAGGCTTATTTTCGATCGGCCAATTTTTGTTAGACCTATTGTAGTTCGGCTTCTTTTAGTTAGGCTTGTTTTATTTAGAACGGTCTGGTTGCGGTTGGGCCTGGCCTGATTCCAGCTGCCCGAGCATTAAATTAAGTTTACTTTGCCTAGGCCTATTTTAGTTAGGCCTACTATAGTTCGGCCTCGAAGCCGCTAGGCCTGGCCTGATTCAAGCTGCCCGAGCATTTAGTTTGGCTTGTTCTTGTTAGGTCTCCTTTAGTTGGGCTTATTGTAGTTATTAGGCCTGTTTGCTGCTTGGCCTAGCTGCCCGAGAATTTGGCTTTGTTTTTGTTTTTGGCTTATTTCAGTTAGAGCTCTTTGAGTTATGCCTATTCTCAGTTAGGCCTGGTTGCGGCTGGGCCTGGTCTGATTCCAGCTGCCCGAGCATTTAGTTAGGCTTTTTTGTGTTAGGTGTATGTCAGTTCGACTTATTCTGGTTCGGCTTATTTTAGTCAGGCCTATTTCAGTTTTGCATGGTTGCAACTGGCCTGACCGGATTCCAGCTGCCCGAGCATTTAGGTCGGCCCATTTTAGCCAGGGGCACACAATATAGCTCCAAGGAAATAGGCCTAACTAGCGTAGACCTAATTAAAACAGACCTAACTCGATGCTAGGGCAGTAAGGCCTAACTGAAATAGGCATAACCCCAATAGTTCTAACTAACATAGGCCCGACTAAGATATACCTGAATGGGCAGCCAGGCCCGGCTGCAACCAGGACTAAGTAAAGCAGGCCTTATGAGCATAGGCCTACGTAAACTAGTCCTAATTGAAACAGGCCTAACTAAGATGGGCCAAACCAAATGTTCGGACAGCTAGCATCAGGCCAGGCCCAGCGTCAACCTGGCCTAATTTAGCATAGACCTAACTAAAACGGGCCTAACCAAATGCTTGGGCGGCTGGAACCAGTCCAGGCCCAGCTGCAACCAGTCCAAACTAAACTAGGCCTAACTAAAATAGGCCTAACTAAAACAGGTCGAACTAAACTAGGCCTAACTCAAATAGGCCTAATTCGAATAGGCCTAACTCGAATAGACCTAACTAACTGCTTCTGTAGCTGGAATCAGGCCAGGCCCAGGGGCAACCAGGCCTAACAAACATAGGCTTAACTAGAATAGGCTTAAGTAAAATAAGTCTCACTGAATGCTCGGGCTGCTGGGCTCAGGCCAGGCCCGGCTGCAGCCAGGCCGAACTATATTAGGCCTAACTAAGATAAGCTTCACTAAGCTAGGCCTAACTAGAACAGGCCTAACTAAATGCTCGGGCAGCTGTAATCAGGCCCGGCCCAGCTGCAACCGAGCCTAACTGACATCGGCTTGATTAAACCTGCTATATCTAAAGACAGCTCTAACTACACGAGGCCTAACTAGACTAGCCCTCACTAGAATAGGCCAAGCTAACTGCCTGGATAGCTGGAGTCAGGCCAGGCCCAGCTGCAGCCAGGCCTAACAAACATATGCCTAACTGAAATAGACCGAACTAAAATAGGCCAAAGTAAATTCTCGGGGAGGTGGACTCAGGCCAGGCAGGCCAAACTAACGTAAGCCTGACTAAATTATGGCCAACTTAAAGATAGCCTAATTCAATGCTGGGGCAGCTGTAATCAGGCCAGGCCCAACTGCAACCAGGCCAAACTAAACTAGGCCTAACCAAAATAGGCCTAACAGAAGTAGGTCTAACTAAAATAGGCCGATCGAAAATAAGCCCGACTAAATGCTCGGGCAGCGTTACCCAGGCTTGGCCCAGCTGCAACCAGGCCTAAACAGAATAGGCATAGTTAAAATAGGCCGAACTAAATAAGCGAATTAGCATGGATCTACCTACTCGGTCAGCTTGAATCAGGCCCAGCTGCAGCCAGGCCAAACTAAAATGGGGCCAACTAAACTAGGCCTAACTACAATGGGCATAACTCAAATAGGCCTGACCAAAATAGGCTTCTAAAACAGACCTACATGCTCTGCCAGCCAGGCCGAACTGAAAACAGGCCTAACTGACATAGGCTAACTAGAACAGGTCTGTCTAACATAGG